AGAGCCCTAAGACTTTAGATTAACTTGAGACTTGGACATGTGTGACTTGGTCCCACGACTTATCAAAAGTACCAAAGTTACTTTTGTTGTACTTAAAAAAAAAAATTACTTCCTCTTGTAGATGTGCATGAATGCCGTGGATGTCGGGTGTATGTGGTATGTTATGGTTCTCCTATAGGAGTGCAGCATGTACAACAGTGTGGCTGCTGCAGCTGGTATACTGTGATATTTGTTTAGAAATATACTATATAAGACAGTAAACTCTTTTTTAATACATCGTTTAAGTGGTACAGATGGAGAAATCAACACAGACTAATAGATGCAATTAACCCCAATTTCAAAGTACTTCACCCTCTAATTTTCACTTTGTAACAGCATTAATGGAGGAACTACAAACTGTGCTGGTTTGGCCGTAAAAAGCAAAAGCTTCCTTCATGTGACCGTTGCCCAGAGGCAGCAGAACAGTGGCTTTCACCAGTGCCAGATGTGCAGGAACATGGCGTGGGATCTGCACAAACAACAAACACTCTAGAAAGCAACGTCTAAATAACACACGGTATGTGAGCCTCAAAGTAAAATAAAATTGTTTCTTTTCCGTCTGAGTGTTTACGGTACCTCTGAAGGACACAGCAGCTGAAATTCAGATGAAGAAAATACAAATCCAGCGTGACAATATTTCCTGACCCTGATAGCAGGGTTCACAAAGTTCCTTTAACAAATAAACTAATCATCCCCCAGGTACTATCAGCTACTGCATGGAAACAGTAAACACATAAATCTATTTTAGTCCAATTTAAGGATGTTTGACAAAGTATTTTCACTGCCTCAGTCCATGTACGAGTCTGGCATTTTGTTTTGAAAGTCACAAACAATTTTATTCTCTAAACAATAAAGTCATGCCCTGCACTTCAGGATTTTGCTCTGGACTCCAGAGGAGAAGAAAAGTGGCTGTTACCAAATGTCATGAACATCATGAACAGAGCCGAGAGCAGGAACTGAAGGTGCGAGAAAGCTTCAAATTAGAAACAAATGGTCCAGAGCTTTAAGGAGGAAAATCACATTAAACCCACCCAGCCTGGTGGATTTGAACATAAGGAAGCTGATGATCTGCAAATTTGCCTGAAATAAGTTTCTGTATGGAAAAAATTATGTAACATATCCGTCTTTTTCTCCCTCTCTCTTTCTCTCTTTCTTTTTGTCTGGGAGAAAAAGTGAAAATGAGATGGGCCAAGTGTTGCTTCAGGGGCCCACATATCTTCTTGTCTACTGGGGAAAAAAAAAACAAAAACGTAACAAACAGAATTGAGGGATCTGAGCGGGTTTTGACCAAGTTTGAGCTGAAATGAGGCTGCCAGGGGGGAAACTCCATGAAAAGGCACAATCGGGTACCTCTGATTCTGCAGCCTTTTCCATCAGTCTGAAATCATACTCATAAACAAACAACATAAACCGAAAGTAATGATCATCAATGTTTTTCCTTGAGCTGCTAAACTCTGCTGCACTCGGTGATCGACTCATCAGGGCTCCCCTACAAACAAGCGGCTGCCAGAGGAGAGTGGTAGAGTTGTGTTTGGTCTCTTTGCTAAAGAAATTAGGTAAAGTTAAAAAGATGTTTGATAGCTAGTACTATGGCTGGGACCCTATATGTACTGTTGATGAAGTTAGGTGCTGTTCTGAGCACTATTTGTGGCTATAGAGTGGCCTTTTGGTTGAGGTTTGAGCATGGAGACGTAGACTGCTGTGTATTGCTATCGTGCTGTCGTTACTAAAGTTGGTATAATTAGAGAAGCAAGCAGTCAGCAACATTCATTTCTTGAGAGGGTGTCTAAGTGTTACGGTGTGTGTGTAAACTTATACTGGAATATTCCTTTAAAATCATTGATTAGAGTATATGTAGCACATCCAGCTGTGTGTTGTACAGGTGCACTGAGCTGAAAGTTAATGATTTTGACATTTAAACTTCTTGTCAAAAGAGAAACCATTATGAATCAAGCTGCATTTTCTCCCTGGCAACAAGCCCCGGATCTGTGTCCTACAGTTTTCACAGATGTGAAGGTTTCGTCAGCTCTGAAGACAAAATGATGATCATGTTTCCACATGCATGGCTCAGCTCTGTCTGATGGTTTGTTGTGGCCCCCTTTGGAGGGCTGACTTCCACTGTGATGACCCTGACATTTCAGAGAAGTGAGGACGTGGAAATAATCAGTTTCAGACTTTTTTTTAACACTCAACCCAGTGTTGTGTTCCCGGATATGGAGACAGAGGATGTCAGTTCATAAATTGCTGAATGTATTAACTAATACGGGAAATATTTGATTTTAATTCAATTTTGAGGCAATGTATGAGCAATTATGGATAAGAGGAGGAGTGCAATAATGGAAATAACAAATGATTTCACAGCTTTGCAGACACAAGCAAGCACATAATGACCTTTTAAGCAACAGCTTTGACTTCATTTCACCATACCTTCATTTATCATCATGGTGAAATGCAATTTTCAGTTCAGCAGTATGCTTTGTGTTGACCTTGCATCCAGAACAAGATTGCAATGTGATAAACCAAACAAAACTAGACTTTGCAAACAAAATGTGCACAATTTCAAAAGCATGTATCATTGAGTAAATACAGCAAATAGAATAAAGCAATAAAAACCTCCAAACAATGGCAGAGAGATGTAATGCACGAAGTAAACACCAACTTTCTTTGTGTCTATTTCCAGCTACTTGTTTGAATAACCTTTACGTAACCAGCTACAATCACATTTACAAGGAAGAGCGAGACAGCTGCAGTAAGTTTACTCGCTGTTTCCTTCAGGAGTACAACAACAGCTCAGCCAGACAGACTTTTTATCAGCGAGTGCACATGTACCAGTCTGTTTGAGTCCTTTTGGTGCAGCAGAAATGAAATGCAGAGTTGGGCTGGAGTGTTTGTATTCTGGTTACTCTTCACTGACAAACAAGTTTAATGCTGGAGAGTGATGCACTAACACAATATTCATTGAGTTATTTATGCAACACAAAGCAATACAGGCCTGACATCTATTACACTTCAATCAGACGTGGTATTTAGGCAAAGAAGAACAAAAAACATTGTTAACATTTCATCCAAAATATACAATCTCAGTACAACCTGAAATAAACATGCTGAAAAAAATATAAAATACAATCTGAAGCTTCTGGGTAATATCATTATTATGTAACACACTGATCATTGTGTTCTTCAGCTTTGTCCTCCATCCAAGTCTTCATGTCATCACTCTGCATCTGCTAGATTGAACGTCTTGAAAAACAGCCTTAGGTAAAACGGCCTAGAGCGAACGTGCCAGACGAGCATGCAGAGGATCAGCAGCAGCTGCTGAGTCAGAGTCTGCAGAGCGTCTGATGTAGAGAGAGCTGATGAAAGCAGGAGACTAACTGAGGGAAGAGCAGCAATCCTCTTTTCTGATAGACTTAGCTGTGGAAGGAGAGTGTATGACAAAAGGTTACTTCTGGGTGCCGGTGTAGCTCAGCAGTTATATTGTGCACCCCATGTACAAGGCCATAGCCCCCAAAGTGGGCAGCCCTGGTTTTATTCCAACTTGTGGTGCTTTGCCACAGGCTAACCTTCCACTTTCTCTTCCCAGTTTTGTACTGCATGTACAAAGACATAGACATAGGAATAAAAATACATTAAAACTACCATGCACTGGCCTACAGATCAAAATAATCATTTCATCTACTTAACAGCAACAACAAAAGCGAAGTATAAGACTATTTTATTGCTTTTTGCTGGGATGGCTTTGCAATAACAAATTTAAAGCATCAATATAATAATCCTCCAAAAGCTACCATGACTTTTGGAGGACACTCAGAACTAGTGATGCTAGTAACCCGTTACTTAGTAACATGCTCGTCTAAGTCTACTTTTTTTTTTAGTAACAAGTAATCTAACACATTGCTATTTCCAAACCAATAATTAGATTCAAGTTACATGTCCAAGTCAGTGTGTGTGTTACATTTTTGCATGTTTGTTTAAAAATAAGTGACGTCAGTCACAGAGGCGACAGGTCATGTTTTCAGGACGAGGACCACTATTGTGTGATACATGTGACATACATATATTGCAGCTGCGGCAAAACGAACATAAACAACAATGGAGGGAGAAGAGAGATGTGCATCCTCAAACTGGAAATACAACCACTACTTAAAGACTGTCTTTATATCACATTTTATACATAAAAAAAAAAAATAATTGTTTATGTTTTGTCAATCAAGAAAGAATAATTAAAAAAAAAGAAAACACTTTTTTTTGTTGACATTCCTGTTAAAATTACACTTCCAATAAAGTGAGTGTTGGAAAGAAAATGGTCGTCATTCATATGTTGAGGCTGCTGAATATAACCTAAAAAGTAATTTGAAACCTAACTTTGTAACTTTTAAAATCAAAAAGAGGTAATCAGTATTAAAATTACTTTTTAAAAGTAATTGTGGAAGCACTGCTCAGAACAATTACATGAAGTCAAAAGCATCAACTCATTGCATTAATCAGGCTGAATCTAGACTTTGAAATACATGTAAACACGTCAGTGCAACTTCACAATTTCAGACCAGATTTAGGGCCTGCTTTGCCAGACCCAGTGGTCATGAGGAACGTGGGCAGATTCAGGGCTTGAATCTAAAAGTTGTCTTGTGTGTAGCCAGCCCAAGTCAAATTTCTTGAAATCGGACCAACATACCTTGATATTATAGTTGGGGATTGATTTTTTCCCTGTATGCAGACTTCTGACCTGGTAGACGATTAACATGACTGTGATCATATGGTATGGTATTCTTAAACCTACTTTTCCTCTGATCCCGAACTTTTCTCATCACATTCATTTCTCAAAAGACAGAAAAAGCAAACAGAAAAACACATGTATTTCCTCTTGCTGGGATAATTAGCCGTGAGTTTGCTGTATGGGGCTGAAAGCAGGAAGCTGCCACGCTGCCAGCAGTCTCTGACAGAGTCTGGATTGTTTGTCTGTGTGGTGGGTGGCCGAGCAGGTCGCTGTGGAGAAAAACACAGAGAGGCTGAACTCTGCAGCTGCCAAATAACACAGGCAAGAGATAAGAGCGTACAACCAGACACAGTCTGTACTTAAGAAAGATGCCACTTATAGACTTCTCAATGTGTTTCTGTGTCAGGGACAGTTTGCCTTCATTTTGTACCTGAATCTGTTTTCTGCCGTGTTTTGTTTTCAGCACATCAGCTGGTATTTATTGGATTTGTGACATTGTCAGTGAGACTATGTGCTGAGGCTAGTGGGCAAAACATATAATATGTAATGTAAGCATGATAAGATTAAACCACAGCAATGCTTAACATGTAGCCTGCGATTTAACCAAGTTTAAATTAGGAAATCATCTCATTTTTTGTTCTTCAGGAGAAAACTGTCTGTTTTTAAGTATAACTGTCTTTTTGTCCGTTTAATTGACTATAAGCCTTTGTTTTCCCAGTAAATGGAAATTGTTTTTGCAAAGCTTCATAAGTCATGTAAAGAAGGCTGTTAAGAATATGATCAATTTATTCTTTATCTCACCATATAATGACCTGAGCAGCTGTTTTAGGTCAACAATCTTGTCATTTTTGCACATATCTTTGCAAATGGTTTTTAGGGCCTGTATATACTGATGACAGTTTTACTTGTACCTCCCACAATCTGTATGTCAGGTGTTTACTGTTGCTATACTGCAACAGAAAAACTTCCGTGCTTGTCGCTCATGATCAATACATGTTTCTATTAACCCATTAAGACCTGAACCCTGTCTGAGACAAGCCTCTGAAATCCTGAGTGGCAATTTTGAGAAGGGCCCCCAGATCCTGAGGTTTTCTGAAGTGTTGAGGTTTACAAAAAAGCTGATATCTCGGCCTCTGTAGCAGATAGAAAAAAAAATCTAAAAGTATCTGAGAGCTTACACATGTGGCTTTCAAGATAACTGTCTTTTATTTGTCTGAACCTTCAAACAAACAAACTCAAATGAAATAAAGCGGCTGTATAAATAAAAGTAAAGGCTCTGCACTGGAGAATAACATACTATTTGATTTCTTTAAAACAAGTGGCAGTCATGATAAAGTGTCCATTCAATACAAATGTAAATATAAAAAAGAAAGTGTTGAAAGGTATGCAGCTGCCCTAGTACAGTGCCTGTACAAAAGCAGCTCTAAAAACTAAAAAACTAAATAAATAAATACATGGCTGACAGTGTGTTCATCTCTGTGCTCACCAAAAGTCATGCAACACTCACAGAAAATGCTGATAGTGTGATCCAAAGCACTCAATATGAAGAGGTTGTTCACACTGCTGGATGCTTCTCCTCCGAAGCTGCTCTCTACCTCCGTCATTATTTACTTTCCTCACGAAGCACGTAGCAAGATGCGAGCATGAATCTGATCGCTTTATTAAGCTTTATTAGCCTATCAGAGGCGGATGGGTATGATGATTTGATCCGCCACGACTCCAGAAATGATTGATAAACTACAGAATTTTACAAAATGATGTATCCACGCTCCCAGCTTCAAGGGTAGAAATGCGTACATGTTTCTCCCAGCTTGATGGGTAGAAATGTGCATGAGTGCCCTGGCTTGAAAGGTTGAAATGCGTACATGCTGTCTTTGTTTACAGTTTTTCTCAGTCTCTTTGGTGCATTTCTCAGATCAGAAGTAAAGTTTTCACAACTATTAGTTCAACCTCCACAACAGTGCATCATTTGTGCACATCATTGTAGCAGTTTCTCTAAACCTTTTCTTGAATTAGCGCAAAAATTAATGCTTCATTCTCAGTTAAGTGCTTTTCTGCTCAGAGCATAAAAGCATGTGTTTACTCTGTCTTTTCATGTTTAGAGACATTTTCTTTACCGTTTCACACTCTGTGTGTCCTTAAAATGGATTTCAACTTATTCCCCGAAACACTCTGAACCTGGGCCTTGTCTCCTCTGCGTGAGAACGAGAGGGTCTGCTTTCTTTTTCATGAACGTCCATTGAGGCCATCCAGGAGTTGGCAGCACCCTTAACGCTTTCTCCCCTTTGGTCTGATTTCCACTCTCTGCTCTTGGCTGCCCCTCCTTGACGAGGCGATGGAAAGGTCTGTGCTGGACAAACTCTTGAGAGTGTCAGAGTCTGTAGAAGTGAGAGGAAACAAGCGCTGCTCGTGCGTCTCTGGCACAAGAAGTGGCTCCACTTACTGCAGGGAGATTTTCCTTGCTGCACGTGAGGAACTCGAGGAGGATCAGTAGTGCCTCTCACAGCGATGGAGGAGGAGGAGGCCGACTGACTGCTGCTACCAAAACAGTTTTACTCCCTTGGAGAGGAGTTAGATCAAAAGACAGAAAAAGAGGAGCAGACTTCCCTCCTGCACACTGAATAAACGTAGGAAGCTCTATCTCTCTGAAGAGACGATTAGATTGTGTAGGACTCAGTCATCTGAGTAAACACCAGTTACTATAGTGACCTGAGTGGAATCTGAAGCAAAGCCTGAGAGTTTTTGTAAAGCAGAAGTTGTTTTTCAAACAAGGATTGCACAAGGATTTTGTTGGGTGTATAAAACCCCTTGATCTTGTCTTCTTTTGTCTGGTTCAAAACAGACATGCTGAAAAGCATCTGTTTAGTCTGCTAGTTTAGTGATGTTCAAACTGTACTCTGCTGTCTGTTGGGAGTAGCTTGTGAAATGACCAAAGTGACCCAAATGATGTCTCCATCCTTTTTCATTAAACCTGGCATTGTTGTGAGACTCACATTTAGGTTGCACGCCTCTTTGCGAATATTGTCAGATGAGGGAAGGGGGAGTAATGACCATAGCTTCAGATTTGGTGTCAGTCAGCTGCAGAAAATTTTCTAAAATCCAACTTTTCATTTTGTCAAACAGGACAGTATGTGAAACACATCTGTGGTGCAGGGTTTTAAAAGTCATCAGCATAGCAGTGGAAGTCTGTACTGTACCTACTCAGGAAGGGGAAGCATGTACACAGTGAATAAGAGGGGCCCCAAGATTGGCCCCTGAGGGATCCCACATATCTGTTTGACATGAAGGAAATTAACCAGTTCAGCACCACATTACCAAAAGCTAGGGTCAAGAAGAATTAGTATGGAGTGTAAGCCAGAATCAGCTGCAAGAAGTAAGTTGTTAGAGACCTTGACTGGAGCAGTTTCTGTGCTGTGTTAGGAACCACACTGAGAAATTTCAAAAATGTGATTGTCATTCATTAAAGAAATAATCTGTGACAATGAAGAGAGATGAGCAAGAAATGAGTTGAGGTCAGAGTCAAACTACCATAAAAAGAACTGTGGCCTTAATTTATGGATATGATTGTTTACTGCTGAGCAAAACTGACACCTGAACCCAAATCATTTTTTTAATGATCTAGAAAACATTAGGAGGATTGCTTACCTAAGTTTCCTTTTTGCCTCTTTTCCATGTGTGTGTGTGGGTGCTTCATTTGTTGTAGAACCCACAAAAGATTATTTTAACTGGTTGACTGGCGTCAGTAAAGTCCTGTGTTTATCTTTATTTGTTATAATAACCACTATAACCACAGTCAACATATCACTGCTTCAAGATTGTATTTAACACACAGTTTAGTTTCACTTTAATTGTAGAGAAACATAACGGCACCAACTATCAAAAGCAGCCCAAACAGTTCTATCCATACCCCTCAGTGCATTTGGTCATTATTCGAACATTATTTTTCAGAGTCTGATTAGAAGTTTGACATGTCTGTGTATGACACGGTGGCAACTTTCCATGTTAAACAACAAATACAGGAAATTTCAGTTTCCTGCCACATGGACATGATTGGCAGAGAAAGTTATTTTTTACATGCTGGCAGGAGCTGCATACTGTTAGCAGACACATGCTGAAAATATTTAAGATTTAAAACATGCAGATAAAACTGTGATGTAACTAGAAGGCCATATTCAAAGCAAAGCTCTGTTTTTGTTGTAAAAAGTCACTCATATGCATTGTATGTTGAATTTAAAAGTGTTGTGTTGAAAAACAGACTGGAAGTGATGCCTCTCTATGACCCCTAAAACCAATTAAGAAAAAAAGATCATTAGTGATGGGACTGATTATCTCTTGATAATTATTTGGCAAGTGCAGAAGCACAACTGGGGGTAGGTGCTATTCAAATACAGTATGAACTGCATGCTACCAAAAGAGCCTGTTTTTGTATTTCTCAATGCAGGGTATGTTTTTTTTTCTTTTACATATCATCAAGACAATGTCAGCAAAAAGAAAAAAAAGAAGCTACATGGGGCGCTAATGCAACACAAACTGAAAGTTTCTTACAGTAGCTTTACATGCCATATGACTTTCTTCATGCACTAATGGAGGCTATCTCAATCCTCATTAAGTGAAGTCCTCACATTTCTTTTTCATTAAGATACAAGAGTCTTGGAAGTCAAATTTCTGAAAGAGAAACAGCAATCGAATGAGGTTTACTTGTCTGAACTCTGTATTTTCTACATATTTATTTGTGTATGTGTTTGAATAGCAGGCCTCACACTCATTACTATTTTAACCTCCTGTGTATTTCCTGGAATGTGTACAAGTTCACTCAAACAGAGACAGAGCGGTGTCACTGAGTAGTCTGTTAATCAGCCCAGACTGTTTGATCTTCATGTGTGGGTTTCCAAGACCAACATCCATATCTCAGACTGGAGCTAGATGTTTTCATCAGACAGACTTTTCTTTGAGTCCTAACCAGAGACACTGGAGCAGAAGTTATAACAACCAATTATTTTCAAGTACAGAATTATCTGCAACAACTTACTGACAGTTTCTATTCTTACAAATTTTCATAAAAAGGAAAAAAAAAGACACAGATGAGAACAAGGTGAAGTGTTAATATCTGATCAGAAGTAAAGTTATTTAGAAATTAGCAAGGTTGTTTTTTTGTTGTTGAAAATCAAATTGGTTTGTAATTCTACGTTTTAGTTTGACCCATGCTCCATCTGTTAACATAGAGGAGGTGGGTGTTATGGCCACAGACGTGATTTGTGTGTGTGCGCGCACGTGCGCGTGTGTGTGTGTCTTTTTCAAAAGCCCGGTTATGGCCCTAATCTAGCCAGCCAGAAGGGGATGTTTTGACCTCATGTTTTAAGAACTGTCATGTAATCCATCTTTTGGCCTTGTCTGTGCTACAAACCTGCGAGTAGACCTACAAAAACCAGTTCAGTAGTCTGGTTTTGGTAAGTTCAGATTTAAGACTCACTGACCTCGATGTGCTCTCTGCCAGCTTCTGATTAAGAATGAAAACCAGTTTACAGGAGCCACTGAATTCAAAGCACCCACTATTACTAGAAATAATGAATCAAACAACTTTCATGGCTTGTGAGCATCTGCTTGAAATCTTTTTTTTCTGACATGTTAAAAGGCAGATTTTGCCCTTCAGTGAGTTTGCTGAGGTATGTTGTTGACTCCTTTTGTTAAAATAGTGCTTTTGTTTTGAGTTAAATTTGTGGGCTGTCAGCAGAGGAATGATAAAAGCGTAAATATTCTATGGCTGTTGTTCTTCCAAAAATAAATCAAGTTGTGAACATGTTTTAAATTGCTTCTTTGTGTTTCACAGTTTTAGGAAAGAACATGTTGTGTATCTTCTTGGTAAAGTCAACCCTGAAGTAACTGTGATGGATTATGGACTCAAAAATGTGTTTTTTTGTTGTGGTTCAGCAGCAGATACACACTGTCAGGTCTTGTCAGGACATTTTGATAAGTGCTGATGTGACTGTTAATAATGATTGAGATCCCTGCTTGGTTGTTGTTCTCACTTCTAAATAAGAACAGTATGTTCCAAAAACAACACAGAGAGAATGGAGGGCAGCAGCTAGGATCACTGCCAGGGGGAACAATAGTCACTTTGTGGTTCTGGTTTAGCCTCCCTGTGTTTCTATGGTCACCTCCTGCAGCCCCTGATTGTGGGCATTCCTGGAATTCTGCAGGTCTTAAGTTGACATGATAGGTCACAAGGATCATAAAAGAGTTAAGGTAATATCCCAAATATTGAATATAATACCAGCACTGGTGACAAAGCTGGATTGTAGGAAAAAGTACCTTTGCTGCCTTTGATAAAACCTAAAAATTTACTCTTTAGTGATGCAGCTTTACAAGGTGATACATTTACATAATATCCTTGATATGTTACTGTACCATGACAGTACTATACAATTCTGTAACGATACAAAACTATACAATACAATGCTAACATATAGTATGATACCCCACAAAATGATCTGATATGAAACAATATGTTGCAACACCAAAAATACAGTATGATACTGTACCAAACAATATGCTACCATATGATACAGTATAATATCATACAATACCATGCCAAAAAATATCGTATGATACCCCACTAAATGATCTGATACAATACAAACAATACGATGCAACACCGATAATACAGTATCATACTGTACTAAACAATATGATACGATGTGATACTTAACATCCAAACAACACAGTTTGATGCCTCACTAAACAATCTGATATGAAGTAACACTAAAAATACAATATGATATCGTACTAAATAATATAATAGAATAGAATAGAATAGAATAGAATAGAATATGAACAGATTCCAAGAAAACTGTTTGAAATAGTGATGATACAATGAAACGATACTCAATGATAGAATAAGATGACAAGGTATGAGAAGGTACAATTAGATATAGTATGATAGAAAAAGTTATTATTTGTAACAATGTAATTCAATACGGCACAACGTGGTACAAAAAGGGTATGGTATCGTAAGAAGCACAGTTTGATGCAATACCACACAGTATGATACAATACAGTATCAGACAATACAATACATCCTCCAGGCTTCCTACACAGTGGTATTTTCACAGGAAGAACAAAAAATCAAGCAACAACACAACAACAACATCAGCAAAACAACAACAACAAAACAAATTCAGTAAATACAGGCAACAATCACAAACCAAGTATATACAGGTATATTGTATATTATCAGAACTTCATACAAGCTTTGCTATTCATTTATTGGTGTAATTTCCATAAGGTTTAGATACAGGTCCAAAAGGCCAAATGAGTTTAACTTTGACACTGACTTTCTTCTCTTATTATTTACCTG